TTTCAAGTTTAGAAATATGATTTTTAATTTCTCCCATACATTTTCATAAATTTTCTTCAACCTTCGTGGAGGCTTTTTAAAGGAAAATTGCTTATATCGACCTGTGATTTTACAGAGAATGATCTGATTACAATGCTTTCTGAAATGCCATCTGGAGACAATTTATTTCGCTTTTGTTTTATTAACGCACTTATTTGTGTTTCGGTATATATGTTTGAAACGTACATTTTCATTCTCCGTAATTTTCTATTTTCATGATTAATTTTTAGCTCCAAAGGGATGTTAGTCACGAATTAGATATTAGTCTCGAAATGGCATTTTGCGGTGAATCACTGTAAACGGCGTATACTTTTCAAATTGTTGCCATCAAATATTATCACCCTGTACATTTAAGAAAGACCCTGTAGACACACCCTTTCTTTCTTTCCACCGACAACAAGGCAGCCGGTCCACTGGGTAGTTAGCATATCGGCCAGGTAGCCCCGCCGACGGAAATAACTTGAACAAAATAACACACTTATAAATACATATTGTGCTCAAGACGACTGCTGGGGGCAGTGCAAACAAATGCTGGACGAAGACGATAGTGCATGATGGAAGAAGGGTGCATTGCGGGTGAGAAGAACAATTTCAGTTACATATTTACAGAGTTATGGATAGGTGGTTACAAATACTAAAAGTAATAAGAAGTAAAATACTAAAAAGTGAAATAATACATAAAATTTAAAAAAAAAAAGGCAAAACAGTAGAAACAATACATAAAATAAGGCAAAATACATAATTCAAGGTTTACAGTTCAAGGAGATAAATACGTAGGTAAGTTGAAAAATAAGTTTCCCCTGTCGACTGTGGTCAGAGTTGTGTATGAAAGTCAAAAAATAGAATGAGACATTAAAGATATGACATACCTTTATTTTTCCACATAGGTACCAAGTACATTGAGACATTTGTCATATCGCTTGATAAGCTTCAAAAAGCCCTCCAGGAAAAAATCAGGCCTTTGCATATGCAAGAAGCGTTGAACGGCTTGTTTCACTTCAGTATTGCTTCCAAAGCGCCTTCCCCCGAGATTTTTCTTCAAAGCCGGAAACAGATGGAAGTCGCTTGGTGCGAGATCAGGACTGTATGGCGGATGGTGTAGGCGCTCCCAACCAAGAGTTGCAATATGGTTTTGCGTTGCCGTCGCCGAATGTGGTCTGACATTGTCATCCAACAGCAGAACGCCAGATGTGAGAAGGCCAGGCCGCTTTTTCCGAATCGCCTCTTTCAATTTCGACAGGGTGTCACAGTAGCGCGTAGCATTGATGGTTCCAACCTCCAAAAAAGTCCAGCAACAAAACTCCTTGGGCGTCGCAGAAAACTGTGAGGAGCACTTTACCTGCAGAGGGAGTTGTCTTGAACTTCTTTCGGACAGGTGATGACGGATGTTTCCACTCCATAGATGCGGCCTTCGATTCTGGCGTGAAATGGTGGACCCACGTTTCATCCCCCGTCACAATCCGAAACAGAAAGTCATTGCCATCTTCATGGTAACGCACGAGATGTTCCAGGCTGACCCCCATGCGTTGTTCCTTGTGTGTCGAGGTCAATTGTCGGGGCACCCATCGTGCTGACACTTTTCTGTATCGAAGAATGTCGTGGATGATGTTTTGAGCTCGCTCATGTGAGATTCCAAGTTCTTCCGCTACTTCATCGATGGTGATACGCCGGTTCGCTCTAATCATGTCATCCACCTTCCTGACATTTGCATCTGTAGTGGCCGTGCGCGTCTGTCCAGCTCTCGGTATGTCCTCCACTTGCTGACGTCCATCACTGAATGTGCGACCATCTCCGCACCATTTGCTTCGACATCACACCTGGCCCATAGACTTCCACGAGGCGGTTATGAATTTCTGTTCCTGATACTCCACGTGCCCATTCATAGCGGATAACCGCTCTCACTTCCTCCTTTGACCACGAATTCAAAACGCACCTTCTCTCCATACCTACCGGGGCTCAAATGAGAGGCTGGTCTCCGCTTTGCGCAGTCACTGCAATAGCGCCATCTGCTTGATTTGCAGCGACCTCTACCCAATGGTGTATCGGTGACTTGCGCGTTTTCCTGCTGTGTCGCCTTTCGTCCATAGCTGTTCAACGCTTCTTCCATATGCAAAGCCCTGATTTTTTCCTGGAGGGCTTTTTGAAGCTTATCAAGCGATATGACAAATGTCTCAATGTACTTGGTACCTATGTGAAAAAATAAAGGTATGTCATATCTTTAATGTCTCATTCTATTTTTTGACTTTCATACACAACTCTGACCACAGTCGAGAGGGGAAACTTATTTTTCAACTTACCATCGTATATACAGGGAATAAGAAAAGCCGAATAAGCTAACATAAGATAAAATTAGTTCACTACAGGTACAGAGCATACAGGGGCTGTGCTGGTGACGAGGATGGTAGCTGAGAATTACTCCAGCCTGTCTGAGATTTTGCGTGCAATGTTTATGCTATCGCATATGCGACACACCCTGTATGTTTAAAGAAATTAAATAATGAAGAATCTGCATCAATGTATGCATGTTTCTAGAACTGTGAAATAAACAACGTTACCTAGAGCCATCAAAATTTGAATAACATAATCCTCCACCCGAACATGGGCACCTGGAAGCTTGAATTTTGAATTTCTAATTTGTCTAATTATCTATTTTATAAAACTTTAACGAATTTTTTAATTAACAAACTCAAAGATTACAATGCAAGCAATGGAAAAAATGTACGGAAACACATTTTTATATCGAGTGCGCGAGACTGTCTATCAGACATTTTAGTGATATGATGTTTTTAAATATTTTGTAATTCTGCTGTTGAATCGAATTTTATGTCATAAGCGCCAAGAACGGGATATTGAATAGATAAAGTAAGAACCAAAATGTTAATAATAAAAAGACAAAAAAAAAAAAAAAAAAAAAAAAAAAAGTTTTGTAAAGCCATCTTAGTAAGAAAACTGAATATTCATATGATGAATTGACAAAGGACTGGACATAAAGAAGCATGTATGCTTGCTCTGCAACTCTTATGCAACCACTCTTTCGTCTGCTGAATGTTTCTATACGGAAGTCGATGAAATTTCATGTTTGTTTCTTTCGTATAATACGTATTACCGCAGGGTGCAACGGCATAGGGCCCCATTTATTTCAATATTTTCCCATTATAAACACTTTATAAATACTAATTAATTTTAAAAGTATCCTCAGCTATAACTTTCAAGTAAAGGAAACCTTTTTCAAAGAATCTAAGAAGTAAAGATTTAAGCTTTCGCAATATGAAGCTCTGGTCAGTAGGCGAGGTGAGGAACCCAGTGACGTCACATTGCTCCCCAACAGAGTTCGTGTCGGCATCGTTCTCCCCAAAGGGATGAACCAGCCCTTCTCTCTTGTTAGCCCTGACCTAAAGCTCTGAAATCCGAGTAGCTAAGACCCCTTAACCATCCGAACGCTGGATCCGGGAATAACGCATTCACACTTTATCCTGAATATACGAGCGAAAAATTCTTTTCTTGGCAAAAACCGGAATTTCAACTAAGATCAGTTTCAAAGAAAGAAAAGGTGTGAAATCCCTTCCCCCCCGGCTTTTATGAATTTTGTACCTGCGGTCAGAGACTTAACATGTGTTATTTCTCATTTCTTCTGGTTTTTATTCCTGACTCCAGAACACTACGAAAACCTCATGGTATTAGTTTGCTGCATGAGTTTTTCTTGCTACAAGGTTTTCCGTGTATGTAATGTGAGTACGAGTAGTAGCTACTTATCCTCATAAATTCCTTCATGAGCGCGTTCTTTTTTTAATTTTTTAAAGCGATATAGACCTTGTTGGCCTTCCCATAAATCTTGTTGACTGACCACCAGCGAGAAATGAAAAGAGTGATTTCGTTTTAAGATTTTTTTCTAAGTATTGTATATGAGTTAAAAAACTAATCACATAGTTTAGTAATGAAAAAAGATTAAATTTTGGATTGTATAATAAACTACAGAGTTAATCAAATTATGAAAGATGTTAGATATTCGAAGCTAATCTTACAGAAACATATTATGTCAATTCTCTTGGCTAATTTCTGTCCTTCGAATTTAAATTTGACAAATATTATGTATAATTAAAATTTTTTAAAAATTGAAAGAAATTAAATATTTGGGAAAGGAATATTCAAAGTATAAAGAATTACTTAATGCTCGTATTATATTATTCGGATTAGCATGCGGAGGCTATCTGCCTTAGGGATGAGATGCCTTCATAGATGATTTACTTTTACCTTATTTTATTACTCTTCAGTAAATTTATTTAAATTATATTTTCGAATGGCTCAGAAGCATTACAGTTTTATTAAGACCATTTGACTTGTACGCCTTTTTATTATTATTTACTGATTTTCCACTTATTGATCTTACCTCATGGGACACACAAGTTTGCGAACGTCTTCCATTATAACGTATTTTGTCTGTCTTCACGAACAGTTCAAGAGTGTAATAAAACTGAATTATAATGCTTCTAATTATTCGACGAGAAACATACAGGACTCAACATTAAACGCTCACTTTTGTATGAACTGGTTTCTTTGGATCACGTCAGAACATGCAAGAGCTATTTGCATAGGGTATGTATGCCTTCATGGACGACTGTTCAAGGAAATTTGCTTGTAATCGACGTCATACACGGGAAAAACCACGCAAACTCCCACTTTGCCAGCCCATTCAATGAATTAATTATGAATAATAACGATGTTAATAACAGTAATCAAAACAGGGCTTAGAATATTACGACGATAAAAATCAGTAGCGAAAATAAAATTTCATTCATGAATTATCATTATTATCATTTTCTTTATATGCGAATGTCACGAATCCAAGTGATTCTACAGACGCTGAGTTGCCTACTAATTACGCCACGAGATGGCGCTACTAGCGAAAACAAGCTTAATTCAGTCTAATACAAGCGCTGTCTTACATCTCGAGGAGAACAATTGTTCGCGAAAATTTCGGCGCAACCACTGTCTCCGAGAGTCAAAGTCGGCAAACGAGCCGGTAATTCTGACGAAAGAGTCGGCAAACGAGATGGTATTTTTATCAATCAATCCTACTTGATGAAGCCAGGTCTACCCCGTTTTGTTATTATTATTGTAGTGAAAAAGGTTCTCGTATGATTGCATGCAAGATTTTCTTCATTACTACTCGTATATGCATCTGTAACGCGAAATGACTTCCAAAATATTCTTGGTTATAATTTTTGGCTGTGTAAGTTGAAAATAATCTCGAAAGCAAATTAATAATTTACCAGTAATATTATTAGTATTTATTTGCAAAAACTAAAAACAGTACTAGTGCCAAATACAAATTTAAAAAAAAAAAAAAAATCTCATAAAGTTTAAAAAAATTCTCATAGCACAGGTAATATACGATGATGAATAAAATAAACTTCATGTGAACTGTTAATGCGGTTCTAAACGGATAGAAAAAATAATTCTAACTTGTCTTTTTATGCATAGATTTTTCAGGAAAAATCTTTCAAATATTTTGTATTGCAGTTCCTGACAAACGCAAATATCAGCTTCTACTCTAACAAGTGAAGTGAAGGATCCAAAAGAATTATGCAGCTTAAAAATTGTGTTAAAGAAGTATTTTTTGCATAGCATATTTTTCTATTAAAATATAATTTATCTACTAGATGTCAACAAACCACATGGAATACATGAAAACAGCTTTTCATTCCAAAATAATGTGAAATGCTTATTACCCTGCAGCTGAAGAATTAGGTTATTTAATACACACAAAGAACACGTGAGCCGTCTGCCTGAGCTTTATCCATTTTGACCAAGAGAGAAAAGCGTCGGATTAAGACTTTCAGAGACCCCCAAGTACTATACATAAGACGTTGAGACGTTGCCGCTCCCCTCCTCCACATGTATTTACACTTTTTCTCACATTAATTCTCTTTCTCTCTCGGCTGCACCATGCATTCCATGGTAAAATTGTCAAGTACCACTATTTCAGAAAGACATTGTAGCCATAGACATCCATATTTTGCCCGAGAACCGAATCCTGTCCTAGCAACATGTGTAATTTAGCCTCTGTTAACCAATAATCCACAGGCAGTAGCATTAAAGTTCTGTTCGGTAATAATGATGGAGAGTTTTAAAAATGTATGTCGGGTTTGTTAAATGCTAACTGCGCAAATCACTTTTCCCACTCAAACTGAATAGCATATAAGCATTTTTTAATATTTCATATCCCTCTTTATAAGGAAAAGTCTGAAGTTTGAAATAGCCACTTTTTAAACATGTGTATCAAATTCTCGTTATAGCAGCTTCTTACGAAATGAATCCTAGTATGGGAATTTTTGTTCCATTTATTCTGATTTTAAATAAAAATTAGACTTTGAGAAAACTCAGTATTTTGGGACTAAGGAAATAAAATCAAACCCAGAATAAATAAACAAATACTTTTTTCTAAAGACAATTAACATTGGTTTCAAATTGATTTCCTAGCAAATTGGTGCATATTAATTCAATTTATAAACCAAAATGTAAATTGTAAATGTGAATAAAAAATTAGAATCCATTCATATTTAGGTTAACACTTTATATTTTATTGTAAAAATGAAACGCCATTTTAACTGAGGGTATTCACGGGGGAAAAAAAGAAATCTGTGTTATCTCATTTTCGAAGCAAAATGATTGTAAAAAAATTGCGACTAAATTGTTTTTAATGTTGTCGAAAAATCTAACTGATGCAGCATGATATAATCTGTCCAGATTTTTATTCTTCTTTTAGTACTTACCATGTAATCTAAGTTCTTTCTATAATGTAGCAACATTTGATTAAAGGATTGAGGAAGGAATAATTTTTTTTTTTAAATACTATATACTTAAATTTCTCTTCTACAGTTATTCTAACTTCTCTCCACATTCTCATTATAATTGGTTTAATTAGCTTTAAACTGGAAACATTTACTTGAATTATGAAATACGCCAAGATGAAAAATTTAAGAATAGCTGAATAATCAAAAACTATTTCATAAACTTAACCACAGTTTTGGCAGAGGCAATTTCAACAATCTGCAGGTCTACAATTTTAATTTGTCTTATTTAATATAAAATTTTAACATAACAAAATGTTATCTTTCCTAACACCGTACTATCAAAGATTTAAGACGACTCCTCCCCCCTGCTATGCCTTTCTAATTGTCTTATACATCTTATATTCACAGCTTAACGGGTAAAATATTTTAATATAATTTACGGTTTATTCCTTTACGGTTCTTCCCCCCTCCCCAAAGAAAACCCACCTTCCCTACATAGTGTAGAAATGAAGAATATAATATTCAACAAAAATAAGCAAGTGGTGCTATAAATGCAGTCCCCCCCCCCGATTACGATTCCTGCATCTCATTTTCAGACACCCACTGGACGGAATCCTGTCTTGAACAAATGACGACGTTATATTGATAATGGCTATTGATCACACTTTTGGCCTTTGAGTGGCTATGGGGAGTTAGCATTTTGTTAAACCTGGCCTGAACAATATGTGGAGACGCAATGTTTCCATGTCTACATGCCATTTTACTATGTTTGAACCAATGATCTAAAATCAGGAAATTTCCAAAATTTAGTTCCCGAATTGAGGACGATTTCTGAAATCGGACTTTGTACGACGTATATAAAAGTTCACATTAGCGGAACTCTCGGACCGTGAGTTCTGTCTAATAAGGCAGAAATCGAGAATTTTAAATTTCAAAAATTAAGTTAATCGTTATCTATGATTTAAAAATCTTTTAGTACTGTTATTTCATATTGCTGTTTCTAATGGCTATGTTTTGCATATCATTACTATGAATACTAATTAATATTATTACTCTTAATATATTTTAAACAATCAATAAAATTCATCTTGATTGTAGTTATTGTTACTTATAAGCGTCAACATATATGTTACGCACATACTTAAGGTAGAAAAAGCTTTTGAAATTTGTATTGCATATAATCACGTAGAATAAAAAATAACAGTAAATCAAGAATTTACTTTTACAGAGTAAAAATAAATTAGATTAAAAGTACAATTCAATTTTATTTTTAAATTAATCAGATGAGCGCAATTGTTTTATCTTTGTTACTCACATAAAGAGGTTGTTCTATCTGAATTTTTAATTTAGAAGTTATAACTAAGTTTTAACTATTTCCTAAATAAAAAAAATAAAAAAAAGTTGTTCAACATCTTAAATATGCTTTAATGCTTTGTTAAATGTAACTTTCTTTTTTATCTTCTTGATTTTAATATAACGTGTTCCAACAAAAGCACCGAATTTAATACGTCCAACAGATTACTTTAGTTTTAGAAAATGGAAAGTGTAATTACATACTTGCGACAGGTAAAGGTTCCGGTTTAAAAAAGTCGAGTTTGATTTGATTTAGCAAGACTGGCATTTATCGCTGTCGGTTTATTTCTTAGCTTCATTGCAGCTTAGTCGACATGGAGCGCAGCACAAAAGAAGAACGAGTTTTGATTATAAAAACTCATTACAACAAATGCGAGTATTATGCACTGACTGCTAAAAAGTACGTGCAAACTACTTTGGGCTTAAAAATGCACCTAATACAAAAAAAAAAAAAAAAAAAAAAACTGTTCACTTGAGGACACAGATTTGACAGCAGACATTCAATCTCCACCCTCTCGATTTAGCCAGTCTGTTGAAAATATCGCTATTATGCGTGACAGAGTAATTGCAAGTCCCCGAAAGATCATAACTTATACAGGCTCACCAGCGGCCCAGCGGTAAAGACGCTGAACACTGGTAGTTCGGTCCGAGGTTCGAATCCCGCGAACGGGCTGGCTGCATGGGCGTTTTCGTGGTTTTCCCCATGTGTAGCGTGTATACGAGCCAGTTGCCCTTAGAAAGTCCTCCACGAAGGCATCCCTACCCTTAGGCAGATAGCCCTAGTGTGCTTTGCCGTAATTAAATAAACTAAACTAAACCATCGAATCCCGCGAACGGGCCTGGCTGCATGGGAGTTTCCGTGGTTTTCCCCATCTGTAACGTGTATACGAGCCAGTTTCCCTTAGAAAGACCTCCACGAAGGTATCCCTCCCTTTAGGCAGATAGCCCTCGTGTGCTTTGCCATAACTGAATAATCCAATCCAATCCAATCCATAACTTATACAATAAAAGAACTTACAGTTCGAAAATTTGACAAAACTTAACTTACCTACCTCTATAAGTAGATACGTGAAAGTTTATTAGGAATATTGATCAGAGAGTCCAGTGCTGCAGAGCAAGTCACGAAAGAATATACCAGACATTATTTTTCATTAAGTCGGAAAATTTACTGGTTGCAAATACGTAAAAATAGTTTCCGTTTTCTAAAAATAAAGTATTTTGCTGAGTATATTAAATCCGGGTTTTTGTTGGGACACCTTTTATTTTTTTTCTCTTGAGATATTTAAAGAATTGTACGTGACCGCTACAGGCTGTCTTAAATTGTTTTTGGATGTTTCTCAGAACTCAGATGAACGTTACTTTAAAGCGTTATAATTGAAGGCTTTTTTCCCCCCTTAAAGTTCCTATTAAGCTTCTTTTCAATTACTTAAGATTCGCAAACAACTTTTTTTAGAGTGTGAAAAACTCACGAAAAAAGATATGAAGGATGTTGCAACAAAAGTGAAGGGAACTAAAATTTCTTTCCGGAAATTAAAGTAAATTTGAAACGCGACAAACAGCTTTTATTTCATTTTGCTATGAGGCAAGCTACACAAAATGGAACAAGTGCTGTTTAAATGAGAATTTAGGTTTAGAAAAGTTTTACGCATTAAATTAAAGGTACCAAAATAGGATCAAATCATTACCTGTCCATTACGATCTACTATTTTCACCTTCCAACCAGACGCATCACTTCTTACTACGTCATCGATGCTATTTACCATGTAGCAATCGGTTCTAGATGAATGAGCAAATTTAATGACATCGCTATCGAGACTCAATCCCAACGCTGTTTGATATTTTATTTCAGCTTCCCGCAATGCTTCAATAAGAGTCATTAATGGCGAAACTGTAACAGTTATGTCACGGTCGATAGCATGGCGAGGATCTCCTGAATTAACTCGAACAGTTGCCCCAAGCTAAAAAAGAAAATGAAATGTTACGTAAATCCATTAGAAACGATTATCTGAAGCTATTAATTCTTTAAGCTGCTTCATATACTCTGTCTATACAATGTAACAGAAAGTATATTATGCATGTCGCGTTTAATACTATTTCTAATTCTCAGTGTTTAGAACACATTTGGAGATATCTTAAGAAATTCGTATAAATTAACTGCACCATTAGGAATGCTAACTAAACTCTTTGAGCGGTATTTTTATATAAGGTGGTATATTTAGCGTTTCTTCCTTATATTTTCTTTCCGAAGTCGTTGGTGAGTTGTATCTAGCACATTGAATATTATATCACTTGAATATTACTTCAGAGCTGTAATCTTTTCCCAAAAAATCTCTGACGAAGCGATTCTGAATCACATTTAAGTTAAGGGTTTTGAATTTAGCAGATCGATTTCTGAACCTCTGGATATTTCCGGCATTCATTTCTTTTCCTGACTATTCTGTGGAAAATTAGAAAACGATGAAAGCATTCGAAAGCGTTATTACGTGCTAACGATCCATTACTGTGGCTTTCCATTCAAAAAGCCTTCTTTTTGGTTACGTGATCGGTGCCATTTATTTCAGCATATTTGTTTATTATACATTTCAGTCATAAGTGATGGAAATTAATGAACTGCCATTATTCTATACAGAAAGTATTCCTTAACACTTCAACTCATTTTAATGACTAATGCAGTGTAGAGTCATTAGAGTTTTTTTGAAGCAGGAGACGTGAAAAATTAGCAGTGCCCTCGCCGGAACTCGAACGCTGGACCTCTCGAATGCGTCTTGAGTATGCTTCCAATTACACCCCGAAGGTATGCTGAAAGAAGGGAAGTAAGTAAGTAAGATTTAGGCTTCCCTGCCTCGCGAGACTGAACCGAACTACAGGTTCCCTCGCCCCTTAGAATCAGGCACAGAGGTTCAACCTCCGCCCTCGCACCTTGGAAAGAAGGACGCACCGCCTAAGGCAGCACTGGTCTTCAGATTTGCTACCTGCCAGTCACTCGGGCTGCCCATCGCAGTTGGACATTACCCAGCGAACCCTAGGGCGTTACCCCCCGGACTACTAGAGCCACACTACTCTAAGACCTGCCAGACCACCGAGCCGGCCAAAGAATGACCTTTCCGGGGCCTCCAGAAAAATTCACTAAATTCATAAATTTTATACCCCCGTGGCCGAGACTGCCTAGATCCTAGCCAGTAGCTTCGCAGAGTTCTCTACGTCGACCCCGGAGGGGGAATACCTTATAGCAATGTTAACGAGAGTCCCCGAAGATACAAGGGCCGATTAAATAGTTCGTAAAACGAGGAGTGAAAAATAGGCAGACTTGGATGGACTTTCTACACGGTGTTATATATCTGTTTATAAAGCTTATGACACAATTGATATTTATACATTTATTTATTTCTTATTTTTAAACAGCAAAAATTCGAATCCTCTCAGTTCAGATACCAAAAATAAACGAAAATGGAACTCGCGCTGTTATAACGTATTTATGTTTCATGAGCATGTTAACATACGACATTCCTAAGAATTAGATGCTAGAAGAAAGCGTTCTAACTTATTTCATAGTTGCTAAATAGGAAGCGAAATTTCTCCCTGAAAGAACTTATCATCAAGCTGGTCCACGTTGGATAAACTCTTAGAGGGTGTGTGTTGTCCATCTGAATGCGTAGAATCAGTTAAAAAAAATATCTCAGCCCGATGGGTACCCAGAATATTAATGGAAGCAAAGAAAATAAATTGTACGAGGCTTGCGGAATCACATTTGACGATGTTTCTTCCAAAATCCAGAAGGGTTTTTGCAACAGATACGAGAAAAAGTGTACTACATGCGTAACCACTTCAAACCTGGAAGTAAACAAGAGATTAAAACCTGGAAATAAAATTCTTGCCCTGTGAGCAAGGAGTGTCGCGTGTCATCATCATTAGCTATAGTTATGTTTAGTGTTTTCTGTGATGTCGGAATCCTGATGATGGCTGATTACCTTCGTACACAAACAATCACAGTGGAGTATTGTGCATAGTTAATAACAAAATTGCTCAAGGAAGTTAAGAGCAGATGAAGGGAAAAGTTGTAGAAAAGAACTCTTTTGCCATCGCGAAAGTATGCTGTCACGCACCTCTGCCAAGGCAAAGGCTGCTGTAACTGCTGCTGAATACTAGCTTTTACTTAATAAAGAATTGGCCCATTATCCCGTGCGAACTTTCGTGGTGTAAGTGATAGCATTATGGAAGCTCTGTGTCTTGAACCTCAGCATTCTAGTGAGAAGGAAAAGAGAAATTATAGTAAAGGTTTAAATCATAATAATTAGTTAATTAACATAAAATAGCTTAAAGTTTTCCTTAATTTGTATCTAGTTACTTAAAATAGAATATTTACTTGTTCATTTCGTAATTGATATATTAGGTTATTTCGAGTAGGCGACGTGAAAAATCAGCTACGCTCTCGGCGGGATTCAAACCACAAATCTTCCGACTGCTAACCGGACATACTACAAGTTACAATATGAGAGCATGCACGAGGGATTGCACCCCCTCCCGAGTAAAGAGGCACTATAGAAAGGAAAAAATGCAGGTAGTGACCAAATATGTTGTACCCCCTCCACACACACATTTAAATTCAGACTCCATTGCAGAATGTAGAATCCTCATATATTTTTTCGGATCAGAAAACATGAAAAATCAGCTATTCTCTCGCCGGAATTCGAACCATAAATCTCCTATTCCGACTGCTAGCCATGCTACCAGCTATACAATGAGAGGACGTACAGAGTAATGCGATAATTCCTTATATTTTCCTTCATTTGAAAGGCACCGCGGGAGCAACAAAACCCAAATTCAAGTGGGGACGAATTATAGTCCACCACATTTTAGTGGGTCGCCGGTGTAGATGCATTAGGTTTTTCGAAGCCATAAACTTGAAAAATCAGTTACTCCTTCCCCGGCCTTCAAGCTACGGATCTTCGGACTGCTAGCGAGACGTGTTACCAGTTACGCTACAAGGGCATGCAAGGGAATATGCAATAATTTCTTAGTGACAAACATAACCCGAATATTTTAAACATATCATACCTAATGAAGAATACAGGGTCTTTACTAATAATCCATAGGCTTATCGACAAACATAGGTGAGCAAATCCTCGATCACAGAAGCTTTGCATTTATAAACTTCAAGTACAGACAGTTTTGGTGAAATTTTGATATGCAGGAAATCACAAGAAATTTTCGGCTTGAGAAGGGCAACAGTAGACCTCATATTTTCCAAAGAAGCAATCAACCGCACGCCTGAAAAGAATTCATTGCTTTAAGGCAGAAAAGGGTTGATCAGCTGTAAACGGATTTTCGTTGCCCGTTCGTACATTGCTATGCTTTTGATTACAAAGAACAATTGAAATATTATTATATTATCATACACTTATTTGCCAGAATTGGCATTGTACTGACTGAGAATTGGCATTGTACTTTTTATTCTATAAAGTGAAGTTTTACATTAAAGGACACAATTTTGATATTTCAGATATTAAGAAAGAAGAATAACAAAAATATAATATCTAAGCAATAACAAAGAAAAAGAAATAAGCAATAACAAAATAAAACAGTAGGTTTTCGACAGTTGGCTTCTACAAAAACATTTAGAAGATCTATGAATAGTCTAAGAAATATACAGCATACAAAGAGTGTACTAAGTAGAAGGCAAACAGAGAAAAGGATGTTTCTTTCAAATATTTGTTTGTTAAGAATTCACTTATAAAATTTTTTAGGTGCACTCTGTATGTATAGAAAAAATTCCATGTGAAATTTGCAGGTGTAATTATTATTAAAAAAAAACTATCTGTGCTGCTTCACAATTACCCTACAATGTTAAAAATTTGAGGCTTTTGTAAAGATTATTAGGCTTTGGAAGCAAGAAGCATGATAACTATATATTTGCCGGGACTTGAACTATGAATTTTCCATTTAGCTAGTTGGATGTACACACGAGGGAAAATGTGGTGATTCCGGCAAATCGTTGAAAGAATAAGCGGACTTTTTCTAAGCTTAATTATAGACAAATATGTGTATGCTTGGATTTCGAAAGTAGGACTGATTTAACAGCAAATAAAAAGAATTCGCTGATATATATATATTAGTTAAATTAAATTGCAATTAAACTTCGGAAAGCTAATAATGTTATGAGAAATTACACTGCATTGAGGAAAAAGAAAGTTAACTGCTTAAAGTTTATGGCAAAACCTTTTTGTAAGCGAAATTACAAGTAAACATATTAAAAATGTTGTTGTGACTATAACATTTCTCGTGTGACATCAGAACAAGCCCACGAAATTCATTGCGGCAATTTTTGTATGCGCAGTTTCATGAGTTTTTAAAATGAAGGCGTGAGTCTCCTTCTCATATACTGAAGGCAAAATTTTCATCACTTACACGTAGGACAAATTATTAATTGCGTTTTGAATAGTATCATATCTTTAACTATTTAACAGAAAGTAGAGTTATCTGAAGAAATATGTGCTTTAACGTGTGTAATGATTGGATAACCTGTGAAATGTCGCAGGAAACGGAGTTCAAATTGATAATACCTAGTGACCAAATCCAGGTAGTGAAGAATTATCGTCTTTTTCAGAGCAGCAAATCCGAAAAACCAGTTATGTCCTCACTAAGATTCGGAACATGGGCCTTCTAATTTGCGTGCTGGACGTGCTATCACTTACGCTGTGGGAGCGCGCACGGAGGAAGGCTATAATTTTTTATAATGTCGTTAAATTTTAAGACATTGTATAGCTGCCACGCCACAATTTTGCCGGTTTTCTTTTTAATTAGAAAGCGGGTAATTATTAATTATCATCGCATTCAGGTGAAGCTGTAGTGAATTACAGACAATTTTTAAAAAATATTCTTAGGAAAACAATGTTTATGAACAGAAATGAATTCAGAAGAAAATTTAGTGTTTAAAAAATCCAGAAATATACAGTGAGGCATTGACGCAATTCGTTATTCGAGGAAACTGCCGCAATGTCCTGGAAGCCAAATTTCACTCAAGCTATAAAGTTTCCTCAAAATGCTTGAGAAGTTGAAATTTGAAACATAATAGCATTTGTGTTTCAACAGTGATACATATGATTTCAATAAAAGTGAATGTTAAGATACAGTATTTTCAGATTGTTAAATTAATTACAGTTAGTATAAAAGTATAACGTAAAATGCTTACGGGAGGTTTGAGATGATTACTTTTGATTGCTGACAGCATAGGAAAGACGGCCGACAGCGTGTTTCTACTTTTTCCACCAGACGGAACTATATTATTCAAGATGGTTGGTTCTTCGTTCCTAGACTTGACTTCCGTTTTCATTGGTAGTGGCATTCTATGGAGCACGGAATTAGACATGGAAGAAGTAACCGGTACGATTATCAATTTTTTTTCGTCTTCAGTATCAGTATTCAGATGAAAATTTGGAGGCAGAGCATAAGGAACTTCATTGGAAACTGGCGATAATTCTATTGGAGGAGGTATATCCTTGAGTGGATGGTTGAAGAGATCTTCAAGTGATGCTTCTTCTATGACGTTTATGATGTTCTGGAAAATAGTTAAGTGTAAAGAATTAAGAAGTAAGAAAATTAAGTGTAGATCATACATATATATATATATAATTAACTCCTAAAGTAAATAAGCATAAAGGTATAAATGAAGTTTAATGGTTTATTGGTAAAAATTTCGCTCTATCGCTGTTAAGATTATAACTTTAAATTTAATTATTAATTTTTTGTTTTCGATTATTCTCTACGAGATGAAGAGCAAAAACTGTAGTAAAATCTTATTCAAAGTTAATTCTTTGGAATATTAAATTATAATACAATTCATCTAAAAACTTAATGTTCTAAAAATACATATTAAAATACAGGTCAAAAGAAAATTAATTATTGTTGATTGCATGGAAAAAGGCTGGCTTTTCAAGGGAATTAGTCTTTTTCATAAAATCCGCAATAATTAAGGAATGATCATCTTTCATTTTCTTCATATATTTGAACAAAATTCTTTTCAAGATGGGCAAAAGATTAAGAAATATAATATTTTTGGATTTAAATTAGAAATTTTCATGTACATGAAGGTAATTCCTTACGTGATCTAATTCAACATATTTACAAAGTATTTTTAACCTTATTATTGGTAAATACAAAGAGAAGAATCAATTTAAAAAACATGTCGGGGTTGATCTTTAGATTATGGTAACTTGGCGATTTTTTGGCGAAAATTTGGCGAACAACTCTCCTACAGCAACCCTCTATTTTTTTTTCCCCGCCGCCATTTTGTCTTCACGAAGTAAAGACATGTTTCTTCTCTTTTTATCTACTGAACATTCTTCCAACAATCTACTAGTCGAATTACACTTATGCTAGAAATTTTATCTAACAAAAACTGCTTAATCATGACAAATATTCACTGCAAAATTGGGAAAAAGTGCACAATAGCAAACTCCTCCTTGCGCGTTTTCAAAATAACACATACACGTAAACTATGTACACGTCGACTTATTTTTACTTAAAAAAAAACATCCCGAATTGCACAAAATGGCATTGCGCACACTCTTCACTATATCCATGTACACTGCTTTTTTCTCATAAATTAGAAAAATTTCACGAAAATACATGACAATTTTTTGAATTTTTCTTAAACCCGGTAAAAAGAACATATATGAAATTACCTGATCGCGAAAAAGTAATATGCCCTTTCCAAATATGAACATTTCCACATATAAAATAAATAAAATATCCAAAAACTTTTACCTCTAAATTATCTATTATATTATAAACGTCACCAACGAATTCATACCGCAAACATTACAAATACTTAGTGACAAATATTTAAATTATTTCCATGCATGTTTACTTCAATTAAACTAAAACGTATACCAAATTCCTACAAACATAAAATTCACAAAATAACTATCATTTAATTAAAATATCACTAAACCATGTACAACGTCGACTTATTTTTACTTAAAAAAACATCCAGAATTGCACAAAAAATGGCATTGCGCACACTCTCACTATATCCATTTACACTGCTTTTTTTCTCATAAATTAGAAAAATTTCACGAAAAATGCATGACAATTTTCTAAATCTTTAAAAAAACCCGGTAAAAAGAACTATATGAAATTACCTGATGCGAATAAGTATATGCCCTTTCCAAATATGACATTTCCACATATAAAATAAATAAAATATCCAAAACTTTTACCTCTAAATTATCTATTATATTATAAACGTCACCAACGAATTCATACCGCAAACATTACAAATACTTAGTGACAAATATTTAAATTATTTCCATGCATGTTTACTTCAACTAAAACGTATACCAAATTCCTACAAACATATAATTCACAAAATAACTATCATTTAATTAAACTATAATTAAATTCAAAAACACTACTTAAAATATAAAAATCATTGCTAATAACAATTTTCCAATAATACCATATTATTTTATTTACTCCTTACATTTAGAACAATGCATAAAAATAATATCCTCAAATAATTAAAAATACTAACTTACCTAATCTTCTTCAGAATCTTCATTAATTACGTCGCTGCAGTACTACTGCTAATTTCTAAATCCTAAATCCAGTAGTCAAATGGAAGTCTATTCACCAAGTAATAAGAAATTAATAAAATTTCACCTATACTCAAAACTCTTTCAGCAAACCACGTATCCTTCCTTACACTCCTTTTCACAAAATGTCCATTTTCACCATATTTCTTGCACCGCCATTTAAACTTGTAATATCCTTCCTTTCACACAATCTCAACTTATTATTATTTTTAATCGACATCTGTTCATATGCCCAAAAGTAAATAAATCTTAAAGCTTTTAAAAATTCAATACGACTGTTTTCAAACCACGTACCAGTTTGGACACCAAACTTTTGTTGACAATTTTTGACATTGCATCTCCAATAAAATCCTGAATTATAAAACTTCATATCATGACCGTTTTTACAAACGCGTTCTTTGAGTAAAATTCCAACCTCTCTGAAAAATTCTATCGCTTCTTCTTCATTTGAAGTAAGTTGGAAAATGTTGATATCCACTGGGAAAAAATAATCACAAAAAGTTTCATTTAACCTAAACTTAATAATTTGCGTAAATGTAGCAAAAAAAAAGGTGTGGTGATGACTAGTGCGGGATAATACTCTTTATTTTAGTGCCCTCTATATAACCTATGTTAGAGTTAACCTGTACAACCTACAAGGGTCGCCAGTTTTGAAGAGATATCTAGGTAGTCGTCATAGTACGTAAGTGCCCAAATTTCTCAATTCAGCTAATTTTATCTAAATTCTAATTAATGGTTACAAACATATAACAGCAAATTTATAACGTAAATAAAATTCTTTTCACACTATTTATGCAGGAATCATTAAGGATCTAATATTGGGTTTTGTAATTATAAACTTTCGGGTCATTAAAAAAATCTTCAATAAGTATTACTTCAACATCAGCTTCCTTCATTCTCAATTTGACAAAATAAATTTCATTCATATTTTCAAAAATAATCGGCATTTCTTCCCTGAAGTTAATGCACGTATGATGTTTTCTTATATATATAACTTTAAGCAACTGGTTCGCAAAACACCATGAACTAGATATTACAGCAGCTTGATACTGCAAAGTACCAGAATTTCTTCCTTTTGTCAGCGATCACCATAAGCTCACAAGAGAGAGGAAATTCGGAAATAGTTAATGACCCACAATTAAGAGAACTAATGAAACTTGAAACTATGTTCAGACCTGTCTACGGAATTAGCAAAAACTAATGCCTTAGCAATATTGAAAATAACCTATAAGTCCCAGTAAAGTGTTTTTAGAGTGCAAAAGAGGAAGTTTTTATCAAAATTAAACATAAAATTACTAAGTTGAAATTTACAGGTAATTAACCCTGAAATGTATTTAAGAGCAAAATACAGGAAATTTAGAAGAAATTTACGATCATCATAAAGCAAACAATAACTTCAGTATTGTATGAAAATAGTTTTATCGCCAACTCATTAAAACAGAACTTATTCATTATACTTACCAAGAAACAGCTGAAAAGAAGTTTCCGTAACCAACAAACCAAAAGCCTTTCACCTCAAACCTAAAATTTCTAATTCGCTTGATAGCAACATATTTTCTAACCTATACGCTCGTCTCAAATTCCATAAGACACAATTTAAATTCAGATTTATTGCTAATGGAAACCGAAAATTAAGAGAAAAATATTCGCTGCTTATTTGCGCTACAGCTTAAAAACATTCGTTCCATTATTTTTTATTCAGCTGACTATGATCACAGTTTCTGTTAGAACATTCATAATAAATAACCACCCGGTGTTTTCTTCAATCCTATGTTTATCGCATCACGATAACATCGCATGCATGTGTTTTTCAGGTTTGTGACTTATCTTACTTGTCGGTCAGTAACATCAAAACAAGGACACGAAATTCATCGTGGCAAGGAGTGCAAGATTGCGCCTGTCGTTGGCAAGAGTCCTGAGCATCGTACAGAAGACAGTACGACTTCGCTCTGTTCCGCCCCAGTTTTGATGGAGAGACCCGCTGGGGGGGATGGGTTCGAGGGTCTCTGACCCCTCTTCTTCTACCATAAACCTCTCGAGAGGAATTTCGGTCGCCTCATATTTAGAGTGCTCCCATGCCACAATAAGGGTGTTTATCTGAGTTAACGGACTCTAGTGTTTATCTCAGTTAACGGAGACGTAGCCGACCAACCTCCAAAACCATTTTTTCCCATAGGGAAGCAAGTTGAAAAATATGAACTGCAAGCATAGTGGAGCTAGTCGACACATGGAACTGACTCCGTTAGCTCCTTTAAACGAAAGAATATGTATTCTCGCCAACAGGTTCTGTCGCCAAATCCCTTGGTGAATTTTCCCTCTTCTTTCTAGCGGCGTAGAAGACAAACTGGTTTACATTACGTCTATGGAGCTTTTCCTTCTTTATATAAACGTTCTTTGGATAAAGCCCAGTGCGAACGGCCTTATACATTTAAAACATCCATGCTTTCTCCGGGTTTCGAAACCGGGCACCTCGGTACCGCAGTAGGCTCCCCTAACCAGCGTACCGTCTGTGCGGCATTTTTCAGGTTTAAAATTTATAGATGTATATTCGCATAAGGATTTTCAGTTCAAAAAGAAATTAGGAATATTTTTGCCCCTATGTTTCATATTTTTGGGGTAATTAATAACATTTTGCTAAGCAAGAAGGGAACTTAATCATTAAAAAACTGAAAATGAGTGGAAAATTAATCCTACACACAGCAGTTAAAAGAATTTTTCAGTTTATGTACTAAAATATTAAAATTCATTATTTAATTAATTTCTTATATAACGTTGTATTGGCGGTTTTTAATTAAAATTATAGTCTAACAAAATTAGGAAAAGGAAGATGAATAACTGCAGGGGGTAATCTTATCAGGTTCAGTGTTCCTCCTTACTTGCTTGGGGAACATTTAAATGACCTGACTCGGAACAGGGAGCTTACTAAAGCTATGTTCAATAAATGTGGGAAGTAGACAAGATA